GGTGGGTACACAGCAAGCAGATGTGGTTACAAAGCAAGTTGAGGTGGGTACAAAGCAAGTTGAGGTGGGTACAAAGCAAGTTGAGGTGGGTACAAAGCAAGTTGAGGTGGGTACAAAGCAAGTTGAGGTGGGTACAAAGCTAGTTGAGATGGGTACAAAGCAAGTTGTGGTGGGTACAAAGCAAGGTGAGGTGGGTACAAAGCAAGATGAGGTGGGTACAAAACAGGTTGTGGTGGGTACAAAGGGACCTGTGGCTGACGTCTTCTTTTCATATCTAAAAGTCTGGATACCTACCAAGGCTGTAAAACTGTGACTTGACAAAGATATGAGTTTACTTAAAGTTGCTCCTGGCCAAAACTGAACGCCCCCACCCACTCACCTACCACACACACACACTGACACACACACTCACACATACCCGCTTCAGTGATTTTAGTGTGAAGTGTTGACTAAATGTTTCCCACCTCCCAGACTCCTGTCAGTATTAAAGAAAACCTGAATCCTGTCTGTTCTCTGCAGGATCTTAGCAACTCCAGTGGAGGGAAGGCATGCGTCTCCAGGGTCCAATGGGCTCACATTTCCTCCCAGAACCCTGCTGAGCACACACATACACACACACTTAGTGACACCTCAAGGCATTGTCCGAGAGCTGTCGGCCGTGGTCTCTAMCCGGCCTCCTCACTCTGTCTCTGGACCGGGACAGGAAGGAAAACTCCTGAGACATTCCATGATACTAGGCGCCACTATCAAACACACACAGAGGAAGAGACTTAATGAGATTCTGTTCCCACACCGATGGGAAACTTCAGTTGGTTTCTGTGACATCATCAACACACGTGATTTGAGGCTGGACCCTGAACGCACCACACCTACCATCCCCCTCAGGTTTTATTAAAACTATAAACATATTAGATTCACAAAGAGTCTTCCCCCTCCTCACCTCCTTCAGGAGGGGGGACAGCTCTATATCAGTCCCCCGGGCCGGTCCACCCCCTCCCATTACCAGACTAATCCCTGGTGTCTGAATAAGCTGCTGTTTACACGGACGGATTAGAGCAGAGATTAGAGCCATCAGAGTCACGGATTAGACACATCAACACCTAATGATACTCGACTGCAGAACAAAACCACGCTCGAACTCTTCATRTATCTTATTTTAGACTCAAAGGACAGATTCTGGACCCAGAAGGCCTCCTAACCCAGGATATGGTCCTGGTTTATCCAACTGAACAGGGTTCGGGTTAACTCTGCTGATTCAGCCTCAGTGAGTTTTACTTGTATTTGATTCGTGTCCTGAACTGTCTTGGCCCTGGGTTTTGTCTTTCAGGGAGGAGCGTGAGCGCTGGATCCGGGCGAAGTACGAGCAGCGCCTGTTCCTGGCTCTGCTGCCATGCGCCGACCTTTCTCTGGGCCAGCACCTGGTGAGAGCGACGGCAGAGGAAGACCTCCGCTCCATCGTCCTGCTGCTCGCCCACGGCTCTCGGCAGCAGGTCAACGAGACGTACGGTGACGGCTGCAACGCGCTACACCTGGCCAGCCACAAGGGCAACGTGGTGGTTGTTCAGCTCCTCATCTGGGTAAGGTCTCGTCAGGTGGCGGTCTGTCTCTGCGCACGCTCAGGTTCAATAAACCTCACTGTCTCTGCAGTACGGCGTGGATCTGATGGCGAGGGATGCCCACGGAAACAGCGCCGTGGCGTATGCTCGGCAGGCTAACAGTCAGGAGTGTGTGGACGTCCTGTCTCAGTACGGCTGCCCCGACGACCGCTACCCCCTGGTAGCAACGCCCAACCTGTCGCGCCGAAACACCAACCGCAACAACAGCTGCAGCAGCATCGGGAGCGCCTCGCTCATATGACCAGGCCTCGCCTGCTGACTCTACAACAAACAACATAACAAACAAACAAACACACTCTGGTATGAGAGAGTTCTGTCCTGCCGCGTTATGAATCACTACATGTTGTGAGGCTAAGTCCCACCCACATCCCCTGACAGCCAACCACTATGTTGGATTAAGACGGATCACTGGTCAGTGGTGACGCTGCTTACATCAGAACAGAAAAGTCCCAAAGCATGATGGGAAACGTAGTTCACCGTAAACAGATCTCATACCTCATCAGACATGCTCAGATGTAACACTACAGTTCAGGTTCAGGTTCAGCCAATCAGAATCCACTTCCCGTTACTCGCCTCCGACTGACTCCTGTTCTTGCCGATACCAGAGAAAACTCTCTCCAGTCATCTTCATCACCGCCKTCATCACTGATAATTCCATCCTCAGCCTCTCCCTGATGACCTTTGACCTCCCTGCCTTCTCTGGCGTCCTGTAAATATTTCCAGTTTTTAGAACGGCAGATCGGCAGCACAGACCTTTTTATTTAAGATGATTTTCTGCAGGTGTGAATATTTTGCTGAACATTGCTGGACCAATGGTTGAACCAGGACAGTTGTTTGGACTGTATAAAGTGATCAGGTGTACAGAAGCTTTAGTCAGGCTCAGGGACCCGAGACCATCAGAACCTGCTGTAACTGWTGGAACTAAAGCTGACTTAAACCCTCCAAAACACAGAAACCAGATCCAGGAAGCTCAAAGGGAACTGATCTTTTTCTTCAGGTGTTTTAATATCCACTGAGATGAGGAGACACTTGTGTCCACGGGTCTTTTATTGTCCAATCAGTGTCCCCGATCAGCTCAGTGAATCTAAGAAGGGCTGTTTTCTTCTTCTGTAAATAACCTCGCGTCACTTTCTTTATTAACCATTGTTGGGTGTAAATGAGTCCAAACAGRAAGTACTTCCTTTAGGTTGGGATGCACAGTGGAAGTGGTTTATTGTTTGGGTTTGGGTCACCAATGGTGGTCCGCCCTGATATGAGGACGTGGTTCTCTTTAAGAACCCAAGTTTCAGACTGAAACGCAATGAAGCTCAGAAGGAACCAGAAAGCCCGGGTCAAGTTTGAACCGCTGTGGAGTCCAGCTTGATTCTGCTGGATCCAAAAACCAGGTCCGACCCAGAATGCTTTGACACTAAACTGTAAATAAATGTGGGATTTTCTCAAACTAAAATTTAAATCAAGTCCAACTCCAATTAAATTTGACGTCCACAAAGATAGGATCAGGTCTGGAGACGTTTGGGACTCTGAATGTGTGAAACAGACCAGAACCATCAGATGATTGGACCCATGAYGCCTAATTATTGTTTACAAATGATAAAATAAGTTTGTTTACAGCTGATGATGGTCTTAGAAAGTTTGGGGTCCATTTGGGTCTGGGTGGAGTTTAGTTAAAACACTTTGGGTCCGTTTGGTAGAAAAGTGTCGACTGAAGGCTTAAAGAACTCAGTCTCAGAAGGGAACTCATATTTTTGCGCTCTTATTTTGAAATGTAAACATTTCTTCAGAAGTTGCTCTCAGCTGATTTTTTAAAGCAATATTTCTGAGTCCTGTTGTTGCTTCAGCACTAACATTATTCTCTCAAACTTTGACTGACAGAAATGAAGRAAAAACAGATTTTCCTTCAACAAAAACATTTTTTCCTCGTGTTTTGTTTTTCGTTTTTTTGAGCCACAAACTCAAATCTCAGAGTTTTACCTTCAGAACTCATCTGATCAGGAAATGACTTTATGTTAAAGGCATTTAATTTTCCTCTCTTCACCTGAAACTACAGAACCAGAACATCCATAAGAGACTGAACGTTTTATTTATTCATTCTGACTCCTTTATTTTGTGAAATGAGATGGACGGCTGATCAGTTCTGAACTCAGTTTCTGAACCTGGAGCAACAGAAAGACCTGAAATTTATCAAACATGAAAAGGTTCAAACCTCTGCTAACCAGTTAGCGTTAGTTAGCTCCCAGCTAAAAGAACCAGGTTAGCGCCACTTAGCATGAATTAGCTTTTAGCATCAGTTAGAACTAGTTAGCTAACAGCTAAAATAACCATGTTAGCTGGAGTTAGCTGACAACTAAGAGAACAACTTTAGCATCCAGTAGCTGGAGTTAGCTAATGGTTAGCATATTTTGGTTTAAATAATTAAGTTTTTTATTTCCTGTTTTGTAAATTTCAGGTTTTTGTTTCTACAGTTTTATACATCAAATCCTAAAAATAAAAAATTCTAACTATTCCAGTTCATATCTGAATTATATTTAGTGAGTTTTGAGCAAAGTTAAAATATTAAACCATTGAAATACAGTAAAAGTTTAACTTTAAGCTGCAGAAATTTCTAAGCTAGCTAGTTTTAGCATCAGTAGCTGCCTGTTGATGTTTACGGTTCTTTTATATTTTATTTATTGACATTAAAACTAAAAGTTAAATGTTCAAAGACTAACTGGATTGTAAAGAAGCTGCTTGTTTTGTTTATTTTTAGTGTTTATGGATAAATTGGAACTGTTATAAAAAGAGGAAACTATCTGCCACCTGAACATAAAGCTTTCAGTTAAGCCCCGCCCCCTCAGGATTTTATATTATTTATAAACCCATCATGAAAAAGACCAACCTGTTTCTCTGAGCTCCTCAGTTTAGTTTTTATTCTTATTGTCCTGATTTCTCACCCAAACATTCTTGTTGTCACTGTTATTCTAATTATTATTATTATTATTATTGTTGTTGCTATTGTTGTTGTTTGTTTGCTGTACAGAATCCTTGTTGAAATTAAAGCAGAATCTTTTACTGTAACGTGTCTCTTTTCAATAAACACAAGAAAAAAGCGTCTTTATACAAGCTGTCTCTCTCTTTCAGACACTTTTTGTTGTTGTCTTTTGTGTCCCCGTCCTGGACACAAAGTCCACCTTGTCCTTGGTGCCAGTTGGACTCCCCATCTCTGATTGTGGTCTTCAAGGGTCTCAAACAGAGGAGGAGGTCTGGTTTGGGAACTTCAGGGTCTCATCCCCATTTCACACAGATGTTATGCTGTTAAGGTCTGGGGTGAACTGGGTCGGAGATGAGAATCCGTTCCTCAAAGTCTGAGGTCATGGTTCTCAAATCTCCCTCTGGGTTTGGGGGGTCTTTAYCTCAGGTGGAGGAGTTCAGGTATGTGGGAGTCTTGCTCCTAAGTGATGGATCAGGGTATGGACTGATAGATCTGAACCTGGTCCTTAATGAGGGGCTGTGGTCAGGAGGTACAGGACCCAGTGAACCAGATCCTGGATCCCGACCTTCCATCATCAGGTGAATCAGGCGAGGTGAAGAGCCCAGAGTTTAGAGCTGCTGCTCCTCTGGACCCAAAGGATTTGCCTGAGATGATTCTGATCAGAACACCTCCCTTTGGAAAACATGTCCCACCAGGACCAGGACTCTGGGGATTATAGATCCTGTCTGCGAACACCTCGGAGGTCTGGGTTTCTGTTCTGGTTCTGCGACTCCAGATCCGCAGAAGAAAGTGACATTTTCAGAAGCAGTCTGCACCAAAATGTTTGTGATGTTTGACTCAAAGTTTATATTAGGAAAAAACATTAATACTTTTTTAATCTGACTTATTTTAAATAAATATATGTTTATAAGTCAGATGATTAATCTTTGACTTTTCTACATATTTTAAATTGTTTAATTTTAAATGTAGATAGATAGATAGATAGATAGATAGATAGATAGATAGATAGATAGATAGATAGATAGATAGATAGATAGATAGATAGATAGATAAAATTAAACTTGAAGAATTTGACGGACCTCTGCTCACTGACTGCGCATGCGTCGTTCAGCACAGGTGTTTTGTAAACACAAGCGGAACCCTCGCTGCTGATTGGACCTCCTTCACACACCTGCAGCCGAACCGCGGCGGAGCTTCAGAAAGTTTCGGATCGTTATTGGTTTTATTTAAAAAATATAAAATAAACTCAGCGGCTCGAGCCTCAAAGAGCCACAGGTGAGCTGACGGAATTACGTCACTGCTTCGGGTAAGTTTGACT